CACATCAGATTTCAAAAAAATATGAAAAAAACTTTTATAATTATTCTAGATCCGTTAGAAAAGAAAAACATCATATTATACCACAAATGTGATATATTTATACAGTAAACAGCTAACACTATAGTACACTATACTACGATTCATGGACATTTCCCCGTCTGCCATTTCCTCGTCACGCGTTTCCCCGTAACCACTTCCTCGTAAGATATTTCCCCGTCCAATACGTTTCCCCGTACGACATATCCCCGTCTATTATAAGTATACTCATAAATATAAAATATAAGTAATAAAAAACAAAAAATTACCATAAAATATTTTAATGTCGTAGTTCTAAATTATGAGCGATTCCAATTATTAAGTACTCATTTAGATCACGTTCATCATTATGTAGACACAATATTTCCTATACGTCTAAATTTCACTATTTTATTGTTATATGTTTTCAACAAATATTTTTCGTGTTATATTTTTATGAGGATTTGAAATTTAAATTTTTACAACATTGGATTTTCACTGGATTTCACATTTAGTGATTTTCTTATTTTGTTGTAACTCTAAAAGTCTAAAACAAATGACCGCAGATACTTGAAATTTTCACTGAATGTTTATATAGGCATTTTATATATTTGATAAAATTTTCAAAATATTTAGATTTGTTGCCAGATACCAAACTGTAGTATACCCTATACTACAGTCGTATACTCGAACCACTGTCTGAATTCTAATCATATGATAAAATTAAAAATATTTCTCCCAAATTCCCTCGTGAACTAGACAATAACAAAATAAAATTACACGTATATTGCAGGATAATCCCGAACGTGTTTTATCTTATTCCGATATAATTTGCTCGTTTTCGAAAGCTATTTCTGGCCGACTTCCAAATAAAAAGTATCTATTTATAATGATTTTATTGATGTGGCCATTATTGTTGTTATTATTGTTATTACCATCATTATTCGTATAGCCTATACCTGTTTGTATCCATTAAATACAATTTTTTTTTTTAATGTGTACCTATACTTTATTTTAGCTACCTACTAAAATTATMAAATGTACAATCTATATGTGTTCGTTATATCAGTAATAAGTTACAAGTATAACTGAAATATTTCAATGTATTAATTTAAATTAAGTACATATTGGATTATGTTAATTAATGTTTTTTTTTTTTTTTACCACGGTATTTTACACAGTAGTAAATAATTTTTTTATAAGCCGGTACAATTTATAAAATGTATTTATTCCGTAAAATATCTGTTTGCGTTTATATTTTATAGTAATATTCATCGTAGTCCATCAAAATAAATAATTTAGCTGGTGTTGAGGTATTGCATTTTTTTTTTAATATCATATTATAAAATGACACGATTCGTAATGACGTATATTATTTTATCGAGCGATTTCGGCAAATAACATGCTTGTGTAAATAACAGATGAATAAAAAATGAAAAAAAGTATTGCATTCGTTAGCAGGGAAAAAAACCTTCACAAAATACGTTGGAAAAAAACCAACTTTATTTGGTTTACCGGGCGTTTTGTATAGGCAATATAGGTACATTCCGGTGACACGACAGTCGCGGCTTGGCAGTGTTATTTTATATTAAATTACACCGCGTTGGTTTTAAGCAGTGCGACAGACAATACTGATGATCAATCTATTGATATAAGTTTTTCGAATGGTATGCGATTTAAATATTTATGTTTTCAATGCTATGAATTGTGTAGTATGTTATAATTTTTTTACTGTATATAATCAGTGCCCTTATTATTATATGAATCAATACCCGCGAAATACTATATTTTGATCGGACGGAATTCTTTAAGTTATGCATAGTTTAAAGGTGTCGATTATTGACGATTTAAAACGATTGTAAACGTTATTGAGACCCAACACAATACAATGATTTAGTGTATAATAGTATACAAAAGTCAAAAAATGTGTAACACTTGTAAAACGGATTCTCAACACAAAACCAATTGTTATAAAATGTCGTAAAATGAATTCGAAACTTTGAAGTTAAAACGCTGATTCTGCTTCACACCTACACTTTCTCCCTCATACATACACACACACACACACACACACACACACACACACTCATCATAATAACCAAACCGCAATCCGAATAGCAATTATTATGAAACAAAAAAACTTAAATCGTCTTTGCTGTTCGTTTTAAGAGTGTTATCGTTTCAACGACGGTACATAAAATCTACCGAATTAACATCTTTAGTCATTAAAATTGTTATATTTATCGTTTTCTGCTTGCTGATCTCGAATCCGCTGCGTCTAATAATAATACGTATATTATTATTATGCGCACTCTCTTCCGTGTCCCCGACACGCGTCTCAACGCGGAAACAACTCGGAAGTAGATCTGTCGGGGTAAATAATTAATTTTTCTAAATACTGCAGCTGTCGTCTGAATCGTCCGATTCGTTGTCGACGAACCTCAGCTGAGAGTGAAAACCATTCGACGGTCTGTTTTCGCACGCGACGTTTATACGCATAACCATAGGCATGCGCACGGGGTGGGCCGAGTGGGCCTTGATTCACCTCGCGGACCGTTTTGTACTTGATGTAATACATATTGCCCAACTTTGATGGTAAAATTTCAAATCGAAATTCTCAATAATAACAATTACCTAATTAAGAAGACGCTACACCCGCACGCGTTGTCTCCGTCTTGCAAGTGCGTAACATATTAGCAAATTTTACGCTCAGCAGATGACRTTTAACTAGTCCGTTAGTTTAAAATTTATAGCGAGTTGACCTCTCACAAAAATTAAAGGTAACATTATTCTGGAAGGCTTTTCGTAGGATTTTTATTATATTTTAATTTTAAAGCGAGTTTTGAGTACCTATCTTAAAATTTTAAATTGTTTGTATATCTTAAAATACTTATAACTCGCTTTAAAATTAAAATATAATAAAAAACCTATGAGACGCTCTCCAGAATAATATTACCTTTAATTTTTGTGAGAGGTCAGCTCGCTATAAATTTTAAACCAACTGAGTTAAACGTGATCTGGTGAACGTAAAATTTGCTATGTTACGCCCTTGTAAGACGGAGATAACACTACACGCGGGCCTACGCCTCTTAACTATAAATACGTTGAAAAATTGAATTAATAAAGTATTTTAAAGCATCTTGGTGCATCCTGCCGAAAAGGTCTGCTCACGCTTATGCCCCACATGACTGCACATGATATATTATGTAAATCTTATTTTTTCACCTGCAAACGTGTCGTGTACTATTTATTGCACTCGAGTTTTTTACTAAATAGGTACTGAATAGTACAACTTATTATTATTATTATTGTTATTTGGTACACGTGGTGTATGAGTGCCGACGATTTATGATGGGCACGGTACGACGGAAAACCGACTGAAATGTTGGCAAACAAGCTCGACTGTTGCAGTTGTTACGGGCGGTTGTAAATTTATATTTTTAATGTTTATTATTCAGAGCGATAAATAACTACTCCATATTAATATATTATACCTAAATGCTAAAGAAACCGCAGTAACCGAACAAAATTCATTGCAATAAAAACTACAAAAAAACATTATTTAATATTATGCGTCGTAGTCTGAATTCTACAACTTAAAAACGCAAAGGCGAAAACAAAACGGCCGTCATATAACAATAACGGATTGAATCGTATATGTTCGTCTTTCATTTCTTTTCATAGTTTGATTGATCTTTTTTTATTATTATTATTATTATTTTGCCTCTCAGACGTTATGTAATTAGAATGTACTGTACCTTGTAACACGTATGACGATGGCGATCGATCGGTGCACGGTGAGGCGATGAGTTCATAGTACGACCACTGCAGAATAGTTGAAATATATTATATTATTATTATCATCTATTCTGTGTTATATAACCATTCATTATGTTATAATTGATTGAATTATTATTATATTGTAATCTTAGGTGAAACGGATGTATAGACGTATAATTGTATTGATATAACACAATTATAGTAAAATTCGTTGTTATAATATTATAGTTCAATATAATTTAGTAATGTAAAAAGAGGGGAGTTTGTAACGTATATGTGTTTACCTCTTTTATGTATATTATGTATACACTCTAGATTACTACCTTCTTATGTGTATATGTATATGTATACACACGCAAATACATATATGCAATATGCATATAAGGTTTTTGATTATTTATACTTTGAATTAACTTACCCCTGCACTTCGACTGAAGTCTTTTGAGTGTTTGATGGACGAAGAAAGGAGAAGTAAGTAGGTTCAACACTAATTAATTTATAAATCAATATTAATTGATAACACAACTGTTAATATTTAGAGATATATAAAAAGAGAATTTATTATTTGAGACATAGAAAAATTACATTTGAAGTATCTTAAGTCGGCTCACCACGTAGTATGTCTGACGCTAAGGGTGTACGCAGGGAGTTATCTGGCCGATGGTTGAAGGGTATCGTCCGAGCACAAATAGAACAGATTTTTGTATAAAAGGACATAACAATATAATATGACCACAGATGTTTATTATAATATAAACATCTATGTGGCTCTATAATACCATATTAACATATTATTATAATAATATAATATATTATGTTGAGGGACATGATGATGACACTCTTTTTAGTACCTACAACATAGTTGTGAAGAGTGGCTATCATTACAATAATATGGTATCGACGACGATTAAAACGAAATTGTACGTTATGTAATAGTACCTAGATACCAATTATATAATCTCCGCCATTGTTATTGATGTTAACTTCCTGTTTAGGTTTTCGAAAAGTATTCAATAAGTCGTCGTAGCAATGGTCGCTGTGTCCTTATTGGCGTACTATTACAACTTAATGACTTGACCAATGTTGTAAAAAGAGTGTGTAATAGATTATACGTCTACGTCATACGTAGCATAGTTTAAAATTCATGATTTTCGTTTAAACTTAAATATCAGTCGAGTCTAACGTGTTTATTATTTCTGTTTCAGAGTCCGTTTAATGAGACCCGCGGGGATGGACCTCGACCGGAGACTGAACAAAGAATACGATGACGTATCAACGCAAGCGTGTATATTATACATAATATAATATTATTATTGTTACAGTAAAATAATGACAGTCGGTGTTGTGAAAAAATAAATAATAATCGATAATTATTAACTAAAATAATAACGAAATTGTTGTTCCAAGTTCTCGGGACAAGGTGTGCACATAATAGACGTTTAATAATATTCTATGAATGATGTCGATGTGTAGGTAATAATATAATATAATTACTATGATAACCGAAGGATTTTTTTTTTCGTGTGTTTGAATGGAAACCGTCATCGCGACGCAACGGAGTTTGATACCGACGCAATATTTTTATTTCCATTTAATAATAATAATAATAATA